CGGCCTTTGGAACGGACTTACGTGATCGCCGGATGTACCTGGAGCTTCAGGAGAATGTCCAGCTCACATGAACTGAATGAAGGAAAAACTTTACTGCGTTACGAGTCATTTAGGAGCTTGCGGGATCCCTTTTTATCACGGTGCGGAATGTGCATTGAACGGTGCGGAATGTGCATTGAACGGTGCGGAATGTGCATCGAATGTTGCGGAACGTGCATCGAATGGCGCCGAATGTTGCGGAATGTGCATCTGCTACAAGGTGCTCCTGCAGCTAAAACATTGATGAGCTGCTGAGGGTGCAGCAACGCTCCCCCCTTCCACAGCGCTGCCTGTATCCTTACTGGTCTATAAGGCACCACCGCTGATGGCTGCACCTCAATTACGGCTACGGTTCTGTGACCCGAGGTTCACTGCATGTGGCTTGGGACCCAAACATGGAAACCTAGAGTCCCAAAATAATGTGACGTGTGGGGTAGCTGCATGCAATGTAGGAGACCCACAGATCTCTTAAAGTGGAACCGCAAAATTAAAATTTGACATATACGATGCAATCTGTCAGTGTGTTTCCACCTTTGCAGTCATATTTGGGGACCCCCCACTGTACCTTTGCCATGTCTTCCCGTTCACACAGCAGAACCCTAAAAGTAATTTCTTTACTTCTGCACATCGCCATCTTTTCAAAGCCACAGAAGCCGCCCATTGAGCCCCACGTACAATCCTCCTCCCAAGACACAATAGGGCTCTATGGGCGGCTTCTCGACAGCGTGCAGATGAGGGACAAGACCGAGAGACGGTCACATGCAATGTACCCAAATCTTCATCTTTAACCCTTTGTTAGGATAGACTGTGCACATCTAGTCAGCAATTGTTCATGAGATCTGCCAGCACAGACGGGGTTAAATATGGCAAACACAACTCCCCAGCTTCCTCCTTTACATTACATAGGAATGGAGAGCCAAGTCAGATGTTTTTCGGTCCTGGAGCGAGGACAAAGGGGGAGCATCAGACGTTCTGCAATGCGAATGGGGAACATGGAACAAATATGAAGACGGGTTATCCCAATCTGGCTGCGGAAGTGGAAATACGCGTTGTCATGGCGGTTTCTGTATTTCTGAACATACATCGGTTTATTACCTGTTGATCGTGCCTGTAGATCTGTTTTTTTTTGTTCTTAAACAGGGTGACAACAGTGAAATCACACGGCAGTGTTGTCACGCTCTGCACGGGGTAGTGTTGGGGGGGCTGGTGTTGCCCAATGCAAAGAAAAGGCAAAAAGTCTTACTCAGTCCATGGCCGGGATTGCATCGGGATTAAAGGGCTCGTGCGTCTTTTTATTGCACCACGAAAGAATATGGACACCGGCACTCCGATAACGGAATATGTCTATTGATATACATGCAAAATAAGCATTGTGCGCTAGGTGCGTTATGCTGCTTTTTTTGCATGTACGTCAATAAATAGACATTTTCCATCTGCCGTTGGAGTGGCGGCGTCCATGTTCTTTCGTATCACTGAGCCGGTGGCCATCCGTTGACTGCCGCTGCACCGATTTTATCCTGATGGATGAGCTGACCGGAGTGCAATGGGTACATGGACTGTAACATTTTTATTGCAGCACGCTGCAGTGCGTTCTTCTGCTAGACAGGAAGTGGGCGGGGAGAGAACGGATCGGCTGTTTTGGGTTGCCTTTACCTGGACAGGTGCGGGGCGGGTGGTTTGTGCCCGTCACCGGAATTGTCAGGTGAGACAGGGAGCGGGAAGATGGCGGCGGGGTATACCGGACTGCTGATCACATGGTACATCTTCGGGGGGGATCCGCAGCGTGCTGGCCTCTCTGATGTAGGCGGTGCCAGGGCTCCCTTTCAGGAAGTGCAATGGGCAGTGCATGCCATGTATGATGGGCTGCGTGGTGGCGTTGTGCCGCCTGTCTCTCTGAATTCATAAAACACTTTTTAAGCAGTCACAGCAACAGTTTTTTTTTTTTTTTT